AGAGATGTCTCTAATGTTTGTCATCGTGTTCGAGACAGTTGTCATTTCGGTGTCAAATTCAGTTTAAAGCCGGCCACACACACAGAGGGAAGACTGTGCAGTTAAAAGTGTGCACGCTTGTCGTAAGTTAAACCCGTACTCTCTAATTGCACACACATACAGAGGGAAGATTGCGCAATTAAAAGTGTGCACGCTTGTCGTAAGTTATTGCAGTGGCGTGCATTTGTATTATATAAAAAAAACAATTGTAAAATAAGTCAGACGTCATTTAAAAATACGACGCTAATGAATTAAAACTCAAGCGTGCAGCGACTTGTCTCCACACACACTGAGCTTTCCCCGCGCAGTTATAACTGTGCACGCTAACAACAGACTTGACTGCACATGCCACATTCTTCCCCACACACTAATAGGAGTTTTAACTGTACCCCGTGGCACGTACATTCAAGTCTTGACTCTTCCCTCTGTGTGTGTGGCTGGCTTAAAGATTAATTCACAACAGTTCATGTGACAAGCGAATGACAACTTTCAAAATTCATTTCGGAAATGACACACGAAAAAAACAAAAGCTGATGACACAACACTTCGCCAGGTTTTTATTTAGACACCCGATACATACATAGTTTTTACAGTTAAAAATTCTGCGATAACTTAGCGAATGCCCTTGTCCAGTTCAAACTTTCAGGTAATCATATTTCAACATTTCAAATTCTTTCAATAAATTAGTATTCCTATATGTTCGAAACATTCTTTTTTCGGGATAATCTGTCTTTTCTTCGACACACTCACACACACACCCAGCACATTACCAATCGTGTAACTTTTGCAATTTTGCATGGCATTCACTGTTGCATATTGAAATGAATATGCACCATAAATGAAGCAGGACAATAACGGGTCTGATAAACTTTAAAAATGGCAGTCCTTACCTGATAAATAAGTCACGTTTCGTCTGAATCCCAAAAGCAACTGAAATTTTTTGTATAAGGAATTCACGTTCGGTAGATGTAACTAGATTTGGTAACTTTTTTTTTTAAGCTGTGTAACTGCGGACATAATTGTTTTAGTGTATAATGTATTACTGGAATGTCAGAAAGTAGGTATCAAAAGTGTGACATGTAAGTAAGTAATGGTAAAATATCGAAAATGTGATGGTTTTGTGGTAATCTGGTGAATCTATTTTTGAACCAAGGAGAAAATCGCATCCCTCCAAAAGCCCAAAGAGCAACCCGCATGTAAAATTTTGAATCTTTTCCCTTCACTAGTTTTTTTAGGAGAACAATCTTTGATGTCATCATCATGGATCCACAATTTCACCATGGATCCGTTCTGGTATATCCATGTCTCATTCAAGAAAATGAAAAGTAAATCTTCACCACAATCACGCAATTGGAGATAGGTACCGCCTTAGAAATTTGATTCTGGCAGCTATAACGTGTTTAAAATGTGAAAAACTTCGCCTTCGGAAACCTAAATTTATACGTGTATTACGTACAATTATTTTCAAAGCCGAGTGTTTTACCTCTTACAAAACAATAACGATTATATAAAACTTAAAAACCAATTGTAGAACGGAACCAACAAAGCATGCAGGTATATAAATCTGCGCAGTCGTCTTTCTGATTCTGATTATAGTATTAACGGCACAAGCGCCGCTGTATCTATATTATTTTAAAATTCGAAAAACACTCGACAACACTAGCGAACTTTACGGTGAATATTTCTGCCACCAGTTTAACTGTTTCCGTTTTACCCAATTTTTTGAAAACCACGAAATATTTCTTGTTTCTTTTCCTTTAAAATGAGCTTTCTCGTGATTACTTTAATGGAAATTGTTTCCATGCTGTATTTAAGGATTTTCTTGAAACGAAGCGTGTTGAAATTAGAAAAACTTCGTTTTTTTTCCACACACTTCAGATTTGACATTTGAATTAGAAAATTAGACAGTTGATGCCAATCTTAAATTTCTAGTGATCTTAAGATTGCAACTTAACCACAGAAAAGTTTCTGTCAGTTACTTCTACCGAACGTGAATGCTTATTATATAAACTCTATCTTACATTATTACGTGTAACTTAAAAGAATATCAATTTTAATCTGCAACATGTATGTCTGGTCGACTAAAAAATTAAAAACTGTGCAGCCAAATTTCCTTCTGTGGCAAAAATGTAGTAATTCGTGGGAAATAAAAGAATTACACTTGTACAATAATGTTTTGTGGTTGATACATGATATTGCATAGCGCAAACCGCTGGTAGTCAGACGATAATCTCGGCTTTGTTAGTTCCTAGACAAGACGTTTGCTGGAACACAGTTATTCTGTTTGTTGGTACGGTCTCAATTACGACATTGCAGAATTCTAGTAAGTATCCAAAAGCTCTCAACGATAAACAAATTTTTAATTGTTATAAATAAATAAAAAAAATGTCTCGATTTTTTTTGTCCAATTTGCTAGTTTACCAATCACTGATTATTCATTAATAATTCCTTTAATAAATAATCGTCAGTTAACTTTAACTAGCCATTGATATCCTGACCCTGAATACATAATTCCAAATTTAAATTTACACTTAGATGACATAATAAATCATTTTTTTAGTAAGTACGATTTAAAACAGTTATTTACGTAACAAAAGGGAAATATTTTTCCTTTAATCATTCGTCATTTGTTTATTAAACAACAACGAACATATTCAAAAAAGTTCCAGGCATTTCTACGCCTTTACATAGACTTATTTTCATTACAACAAATTAATAAACAAAGTGAACAATCTTACAAAATTATTTCTGTTATTTTACAAATTATTAGATAATAGTGTTATCACTAATTATTGCAAATTTATAAATTGACTCGAGCACCATACAATAAACATTAACAGGAAAGATTAAATTGATATTTACGTATCTTGTTTTTTTATATTTCTTTATCACATTAAAATGTAAATATTTTGCAGTCATTCATAAACGACTACTGTTATCATAAACGTGATCCGGATGGACAGTATCAGAATCGATAATTCAAACATGAAACTTTTTTAATAATTTAGTAGAAAATAAATTATTAAAAATTAAACACATTTAAGGACATAACTGATCTACTACAATATTGGTTTTGCTTTGATTTTTTCAGATGATTGTTTTCTCAGCATGAAAATTGCGAAAATTATCCAAAGGTTAGATAACAAAACTTTGGGAATGAATCAGGAATCGAAATTGTTTTTTAACAATGTTCTAAATCATAGGTTTTCGTTTAATTTGCGAGGAAACATAGCTGCGAGCTATTTTCCAACTGTGTTTACTGGAAAATTTTGTTGTGTCATCGAAGATATTTTACGTTGTATATACATAACTCTATGAACCAATTTTAATGCCTAACTATGAAGTTTATGAAAATGTTAATATTATAAAAGTATTTGACGAACTTTTAATGTGGAAATATACCCTTTAGTATTAAGTTACAAATTATGAAATTGACAATGTGAAGTTTTTTCATAAGTCCTGTAGAACTTTTCTACTATACTCCTTTTATATATATATATATTGTATATATACAATTTACATATTTATATATGTACGATTAAATTCCAAAATCAGTGTGGATCGGACTGCATTCTTGTTTTCTTTACGTTGGCACTTATTTTGACCTATTCAACATTAAAAACGACAAGTCCCCTTTAAAATCATAATCAAGCTAGACGAATTACTCGGAACTGTCCGAGAACACATATTTTGACGTAAATTTTTGAATTTCTATTTCATGTTATCAAAGTTAAGACATCATTAGATATTTTTTTTCAATTGCAACCTTAGTATGGATAAAGTGTACGAAGCAAAAAAATACTTGGAAGTTTAATGCAATTAATAAATGATTTGTTTTCAATAATTTTACAGTTTATTTTACGAATAAATTAAAAAAAAATACCAACATTGTGGTCTAATATTTTTTGCCACTAAAAAAATGGTGAGGTATACAATCAATTTATACATTTAATTTCAACTAAAAATTTTTGAATTTCTTCCCAAAATATAGATATAAAAACGAGTGCATCTATCCTATGCAGATTTTTTTAATGAATTAATTACTTCAGAATTGCCCACTGTACAGAAATAGATACATAGGCAATAGCGAATTTACAAAATAAAATCTATTTAGGACCGTCATAAAATTCAGTGTAGCACTTCAGTTTCACCGGAAATAACAACTTTCGCTTTTTTAATGGGTTATTTTTTTTCTTAAAAGATTATTGTTTCCTCAATACAATAAAACGAAATTTACAATAGGTTAAATTTTCAAAATGAACTTTCGTACACTATTAAAAATGAGCTGCAGAAGAGTATATGTGGTTACAAATGTTAGTAACTACATATTTATATCTGTAACAGTAAACATCAATTATTGTTGATGCCTTTACTTGCAACACTGTTGGCAATTAAATTTACATTAAATCAAATAATTTAAATAACTTCGGGGCGTAACTATTTTCGATATCACTCTACAAAGTTTCTTATCGTATTTACACAACAATAAGCTATTCAAAAATAGTAAAACTGAAAGTAGACCCTTTTTAAAAAACTAAATTTGTATTCATTTCCTGTGAAATGGGAAGTGCTATGATTAAGATTATTATCCGCCAAAATATATTTGCGGGTTCTCTATCGTTAATTACCATTCTAAAAGTACTTTGAAGCAATTTAAATCTTAGCTGAGATGAAACCATCGTATATATTACTGAGACAAGGTATATTTGCTCTTAGTTTTGCTTTCATATGTTAATTGGTTTGATTTCCGTTGAAAAATTAATGAAATAAACTTCCACGATTCTTGAAAAGTACCATTCACACGAGTCCAGAGATACAGTTACACTTGAAAATTTGATTCCAATATGTAGATTTAAAACTTCGTCGTCCACACGATTCATCCAGTTCCTATTTATATTCGCTGAAAAGGGTTGAAGCGGCTATCTAAAAATGTACCCAAATAAATATTAGAAATCACCCACCTGTCTACCACAGCTTGTCGCTTGGGAGTGTTGATTTCGTGAGGAAGGGGCGACAGTCCCGGGGGCTGTGGGGCGACGGGGGGGACGGTCCCTCCACCGTCGTGGCAACCCCCTGGACCAGAGCTGGCTCGATCCAGCGTGTCGATTGCCTGTCCTTCTTCACATCGCACTTGCCAATAAAATAATTTCACACTCCCGACCCGAACATAACCTCACTCGAACGTTTCAACAGTGTTTCGCACAAAACTGCACTATGGCAGCGCACATTTTATTAGATGAACGACCTTCAAATTGGTATCTCCAGACGTGTCAATCAGTGTTTAGGTACAGCTTGCCTTCTCAAATGAGTGCTGAAGGTTAACTGATGTTTTGCGTTGTATCCATGTGCATTTTAACACGCGAACGGCATAGGTGAGCATTTTTGGGCCTGTTTATCACTGGAACGTCTAAGTGACTCCGCTGACGGATGTAAACACAAAGTTCAGTGGACTTTTTAACAGGTTGTTTTGGAACGCATGGCGTTTCCGTCCCGTCGTCCTCTCCTCAATCTGATGAATGAAACATTATTTGTATATTATTCGTGCACTCGAACAACAGACCCAAATGTAATAGAGGTTATAAACACTGGAGCTAGACGACACTTTTCCTCTTGGTTCAATGTTGTTACGGTGTGCGATGCACGTTCGACTGAAACTTCACAGACAATCTCTTCAATACAATCGCTTTTCGAGACAATGCTATTTCTCAATGTTTCACAAGCATAATTTCGATACGAAACAGAAACACACTTTCGCTCTTTCGTTCACTTTACACACCGCGGCCATTTTACATCCAATAGCGTGCCAGTGCAGCCACCTGTCACATGCGAAATGATGATGGGTGCCGAGATCGTCGCGTGCGCGTCTTCACGACAATGCACGATTGGCACACGAATGAGAACAGAGACGTATCAGGAAGGGGAACCAGAGCAATGGTTTGTCGAAATGCCTGCTGACTGAACAGAGACGGACTCAAGTGGTGTTTAAGTGGCAGCTGGCTGCTACCAAACTGAGATTTTACAATAATTTTCGTACACTTGGGCCATAAAATTTGTCCATTTGACGCTAGAACCTCTGGAGGTTCATATACAAATGGGACATTCCATTTTCATACGATATTTTAAGACGAGTACTGAAAGGAGAAGCGGACTCGACAGGGGTGCCGGGGTGCTCCAGCCCCTAGACCTGGTGGCCCCCAAGTTCCAAGAGTTTTTTACCAAGAAAAAAATCTAAAAAAAAACATTAAGCTTACTGGTTGGCGAAACGGAAAGTAATAAAACTTTTTCTGGGAAATTTAGATAAACTCGCTGCTCATATGTCACGATTCCGAATACGATTCTCTAATTATTGAACGGTATTTATTATTCAGTCTCAAAGTTTTTTCGCCAAGAAAAGAAAAGATAAGAACAAGCTAAATCTGCAAATGGCAGGACAAAATCCCAAACAAATGACGTTATTTTCATACGAAACCCAAAGAAATTATTGAAAAAACATTCTGTTGCAGATGACCCAATAGAAGGTCTTTCGAACTTTCTTAAAAAAGCAAGTGATAACGCCTACTTTTGATTTGACAAAAGTTCGCCTCACAGGAATGAGTGAAAATCAAAGTAAGAGTGACACCAGTGACATTGATAGTGATAGTGACAAAGAACAATTTATTACATGTGGTAAATATATACCGCCCGGACAAAACGCAAAAAATATGAATATAAAAATAAAATTTCTCAAACAGCATCCGATTCAACCAAGACGTCCTAGTGCACAAAAATTTCTCACTTTTAAATGAAAATTAATTTTATTTTCGTACTCCTTCCACTTTGGAAAAACATGAACATCGAAGAGCAGCCGAAAGCTACTTACGCGCAATAACTTTTATAAATATAGAAAATCTATTAAATCAATCTAAAGACATTGAAATTGAAAGAAGCCGCGAAATTTTGGACAGAATAATTTCAATTACATTGGTTTTACGCAAACAACTGCCTTTACCATTCCGTGGTCATTGAAATGAATCCTTTGGGGAAAGAATAGAACATTTTGACGAAAAAGTATCTTACGGCAATTTTTTAGCTGTTGTAAAATTAGTAACTAAGTAAATATGATCCCATTTTGGAAAGTCATATAAAACGGTGTGCGGGTGCACGTTCCCTTTTTATCAAAAACGTCCGTGAATAAAATAATAAAAATAATATCCGATTTATTGAGAAGAAAAATTGTAGAAGAGCTGAATGAAGCAAAATATTTTTTATTTGAAGTTGATTCTATGCAAGACGTAAGCGTTTTAGATCAACTTTGTAGATGTCTGCGATATGTTCATAATGAAACTGAAAAAGATCGATTTTTCAAAATGTTCCCAAGAAAAATGGGAACAGGCAAAACTCAATGTGAAGCGATTACAACTGAAATGGACCACTTTATTTTCATTTGAATAATATAATCACGATGAGTCAGTCAGTCAAACGACGCAGCGGCTAATATGAGCGGGCAGTATTAATGGTCTTCAGGCCCATCTGAAGGAAAATTCATCACATTCAATATTTACCCATTGTCATGCTCATATTCTTAATGTTATCGGTGACATTATAAATTGTTCTATAAAAACGCAAGATGTTTTTGGGCTACTTCCGATGATTTCAACTTTTGTTAAAGTTTCTTATCAGAGAAATAATTTAATAAATAGCATGGACGGGAAAAATTAAGACGTTTATAATAAAAGATCGGAGAAACTATATAAAATAGTAAAACTGCAGTTTTTTGGTTTCTATTTTCCATCATCTACACGAAGGTCACACTAAAAGAGATAGGTTTGTTATCCTAATTGAAGTATTGCATACATTAGGGTTTGCTTGACCTTTCATGACTCCTAGAGTACGAAGAAATAGGTCTTCCCTTTCCGTCTGTCTGTCTGTCTGCCGTCTGTACGTATTTTTCTTAGACACATAATATCTGAAACTACTGAACCGATGGTTACAAAATTTTGTATGTATATTAGATATATAATGCAGATGGTAAAACGCTAACCAAAATTTGTCTAGTGATCTCCACCAAAATTTTGTTTAAGAAATATAATTTAAATTTCACAAAATATTATACTCCCACACTCGTATTTTGTGAATCCGCCCTGCTTTTGTTTATATTCTTTTGCCATATAATACGTCGCTTCCCAAGCGTGAAAATAGCTCAGTTGAAAGGGAGTGTTCCTTCCGAAGGAAAGACCGGGGTACGGATCCCCGTTTCCAATTTTTCTTCCTTCAAATCAAAAACAGCAACTGAAGACAGAGAGAATACAATAATAGATAACAGTTATTATTATATTGCAGCTATCCTTGTGCTTTACAACATATTCATAGTTTTCTATTATTGTTTGTAAATACGATACATCAATCAATGCACTGGATGTAATAAACAAAACTGAAATATGGATTCATTAATGAATGCATTAAAAAGTCTGACCTGAAATCTCTAAAGCAATAACATATACTTCATATAGTTACGTCATTTGCTTATCGGCGGAGTCACCATCGCACCTAGGCATATAAACAGTTCGTTCGCGACCCATAGAGTACGAAAAATTAGGTCTCCTGCTTCAGTCTGTCTGCTGTCTATCCAGCCCCGTAGCTACGGGGGGGCAAGAGGGGGATGAGCCCCCCCTAGCAGTTGTGGTTGCCCCCCCTGGAAGACTTACACATTAAAAATTTCAATTTAGTAATAAAATTTCAATATAATGCCAACTGCTGAAGCATATTTACTAGCTCCACCCACCCGCCCTTTATTTTGTTACAGGGTATATTATTTGACAATATCACCCTAACGTTAATGTTGACCGTATAAAAAAATCAACTGTCATGTCACATTTTATTTCATAGCCTACTACTAAACATGCAAAAAAATAAATATTACGAATAAAGAGGTACGTGCTCGTAGAAGCTTTAATGAACTTTAGGAAATACAACGCAAAAATACAGAATACAAAAAAACGACAGCTCATTACTTTTTTTTACAATTATTCATGTGTTCTTGTTTGTTGTCATGGCAAACCTACAGGGTCGCCCTTTTCTAATATCTAACACTTCCCCTCGACCCGGGGTTGTGCTAGATCTAGCTGCTCCGTGAAGGAACCATGCTTTATACTTGCTAGACCCTTGGTGAAGATGTCACCAATCATATCTTCCGAAGGGACATGTTGTATAGTTAATGAGTCATTCTTCACCACTTCTCTGATGTAGTGATGTCTAAGGTCGATGTGCTTACTCCTCGCATAATAGACCGGATACTGAGCCAGTCTCAATGTGCCTTGGTTGTCACTGAATAGCACCATTTGTGACAACTGTGCGAACCCTAAATCCAGCAGGAACTTCTGGATGAAAGTGGCTTCCTTGGCTGCTTCTGTTAATGCCATGTATTCAGCCTCTGTGGATAATAATGCCACAGTTTTTTGTTTCCTGGAGTCCCACGGAATGGGTCCCTCTGCTAACATGAAGATGTATCCAGTATACGACCATCTGTCAATAGCACAATTTGCCCAGTCGGCATCTGCATAGCCTTTTACAGGATCGGGGCAGTTTGTATACACAAGACCATAATTCAGAGTACCCCTCAGATATCGAAGCACTCGCATCGCTGCTGTCCAATGGACCTTGCCATGATGATTGAACTGTCCCAAGGAACTCACTGCGTGACTGATGTCAGGTATAGTGGTGATGGCCAAATATGTCAAGCCACCTATCAATTCGCGATACGGGAAATTCTTCACTTCTTCAGCGGTCGTTGGTTTGACGAGCTTTGTCTGCGGATCCATGGGAGTTGATATCGGGTTGCAATTCTCCATGCCGAAACGTTTGAGGTGGTCTAAGATGTAGCCTCTTTGGTGCATAGTTATCTTTGACTTCTCAACTTCAATCTCGACTCCCAAACAATAGCCAACATTACCGAGTTTCTTCACTTCGAACTCCTTGCACAATTTTTCTCGAAATTGCTTGATTCTGTTAGAATCTCTTGACATTATCAGTATGTCATCGACATAAATAACAACCATCGTTGCATCTTCCCCTCGTCCAACACAATATACACACGTATCGGCGTTGGTTGGAATCGCACCAAGTTTTCGCAATACCTTGTCCAACATCATATGCCAGCTTCTACCGGACTGGCGTAGGCCATACAGGGACT